TCTCTCTCTGGTGAGCTCATTTGATCTATAGCAACTTTTTTTAAAATAATAAAATAAAAATTAAATAAATAATTCTTTAAAATAAAAGAATGTCATAATCATCCTCCTACTTCAACCTCCCAAGTAGTTGGGCCTGCAGTCACATGCCACTATGCCCATCTTTTAGAGTGAGCTGGAAATCAAATCTAACCTCCCATGTAGCATCTTTAATAGCATGTACTACTGCAGCTGGGACTTTTTTTCAAGTGAAAGTAGTCATTCAAAAAAATTACTCTATGAATACTATATCTTTCCTTGAATGAGTACCTTTAATAATTAGTATAGGTTGAAGTTAGTTAATACTTTGGTGGGTCAGTCTCTCTGCCTTTTCCAAAGCAACTTTTGGCACTCTAAACCTATGGAATACTTTTCCCTGGGCCCTAAGCTTAGAGACAAAATTGTGCCCTATAATGAATAGGCAGAAAGACACTGAGGCACAAGAGGGAATGAAGAAAGCTGGGATATTGAGACTCACTCAGCCACTGGCCTGCATCCACCTCAAGGGCCACACCACCCAGACCTGTAGTCCAGCAGCCCACAGCTCTGAAGCTATCTCTGGAGTCAAATCAGCTCGCTCTTTCCAGAGATGCAGAAGCTTTAGAGGTATGACCCACCCAAAGCAAAGCCAAGAATCACTGCTCTGATTTCTCAAGAACTGCTGCTTAGGGGGGCGTGGTGGTGCCCGCCCTATGGCAAGAACTGCAGCTTAGGCAAGCTGTATGGTACAGCAGTGATGTGCTACTCAAGAGAAACCAGATCCCAGATGGCAACTACACTTCAAACCCCGGGCCGGGTTAGGCTAAAACACACTAGGCATATGTGCAAGCGCCCAAGATCTGATGGGCTAGAGAACTGAAAGAGGGGGATCATCGTGTGACCAGACACTATGGAAAGGGGCTCCGCTCTTTCCTACTCTCTCTCACTCTCACATGCACACATGTGTATGAGTGTGTTGGTGGAGGAGACAGAGTGCAGGTCAACAGCTCAGAGCCTGAGGAGAGAAATGAGTGGAGAAAGCACATTCCATTAATACTTCACGTATCCTGTCACAAGTTCTGTCTAAGTCATGAATCTGAACAGGTCACTCACCTACTTAAAGTCATTTGTAGCTTCCCACTGCCTTTAGGATAAAGTCTAACCTTTTAAACTAACAAGTTAAGATCTGTCCTCAGATTACCTCTCCCTCCTCTTTTCCACTCTTCTTTCAGTTCCATGAGTTCACCCTGCTCTTTTGCCTCTGAACTTTCTCAGATTACTAGAAGATTCTAAGTTAAAACCCTACATCTGGCTAGTTCCTGTGTATTCCTCTGATCTCAGGTTAAGTACCATGTCCCCAGGAAGTCGTCTTTGACCTCTTTCTCACCAGCTTTGATATGCCCCTGCTTTGCATACAGTCAACTGATTTTTGACAGAGGTACCAGTCAATCCAGTGGGAAAAGGAAAACCTCTTCAACAAATGGTACTGGAAAAACTGGATTTCCTGCTTTGCATTCCTATAAACTTCTCATGTTATAACACTTACCATGTGTTGATTTTTTTTAATTTGTTTGCTCTCCTACTACATTATAAATGCTATAAAAGCCAGACCATGTTTGTCTTGGTCAGTGTTCTTCCTCCAGCACCTACCATGTGCCTGATAATGATGTGTACTCAATAAATATTTTTTAATTAAAAATAAATTTTTTAAAAGAATTATTTTATTTAACTCTATTTATTTATTTATTTTTATTTATTTAAATTTGACCAGAGAGGGACAGAGCAAGAGGGAGGCAGAAGGAAAGTAAGAAAGCAAACCAACAGGTCCAGGACTCGAACCACAGTCGGCCATGTGGGAGTCTAGCACCCTTCACCACACCACCTGCCATTCCCAAAAATAAATTAATAAATAAAGATGAAATTGAATGTGCAAGTTAGATATTAGTTGGTTTTATGAATTTTTTACCTGACAGCAGGACTCAGTACATTATTGTGTTTCCCCAACCATAAATCAGTTCCTGGAACCAGTAGCTGGCATGGTGGTTAAGACGCTAGATTTCCACATGGTCAACTGTGGTTTGAGTCCTGGATCCAATGGCTTAAAAATCACAACAAGCAAATAAATAAATATATAAATAAATGCTAAAAGGGAGGAGGAGAGTAAATCAGTTCCACCAAACAGAGCAATGTGGATTTGACTGAAGATTTTATTTTTATTTTGTATGTGTGTATGTATATATAATACACATACATATATACACATATATGTGTGTGTGTGTGTGTGTATATGTATATATATATATATATATATACATATTTAAGGTTTTTGCCATAGGGTGTGTGTGTTTGCTGGAGAAAGACAGAGAAAGACCGTAAGAAGTAAAGTCAGAAATTACCTAACCCTCCGGTGGGATGGCCATGTTGCAGTCCCTTGTCCTCCACTCTCCTCCTGGGATTTTGAGCACACAGGCACACGCACCCAGCATGATCTTCAAGCTGCCAGGTCTGGGATTTGAATCACTTTCAGCTATGTTGAAGTCCAACACCTTAACCACTATGCCATCTGTTGACTCCTAAAGATTTTTTTGTCATAGGGCACGTGCACTTGCCAGAGAGAGAGAGAGGGAATGTAAGTCACTCCCCAACAGGCTATGGCATTGTTACAGTCCCTTCTCCATTCTCCTTTCAGGATTTTTGGCATGCACATACATGCACCCAGCATGATTTTTTTCTTTTCAAGAAAGATTTTTGCTATAGGGTGCGTGCGCTAACCAGAGAGATGAAAAGTAAGACCACCCCACCCCACCCCAGGGAGGATGGCCACACTGAACTACACTGAAATCTCTTTTCCTCCATTCTCCTCTCAGGATTTTGGGCATGCAAACACACGCACCCAGTGTGAGTTTTAAGCCGCTGGGCCTGGGACTTGAACCACGGTCAACTATGTGGGAGTCCAGCAATGTAACCATTATGCCATCTGTACCTGGCATGATTTACAAGCCACTGAGTCTGGGACTCAAACCATGGCCATGTGAGAATCCAGCATCTTAACCACCATACTACCTGCTGGCCTCTTGACTAAAGACTTTTATGAAAAGAAAGAGAAGGTTTAAATAGCAAGCATTTCTGTTCTCTCTGTGTCCTTCATTGGCTTCCAGGTGTTGGGTCTTCCTCTATTTTGACTCTCCCTCCTGTTCCCCCACCTTCGACTCAACCTCCTCTGCTTCCCTTCCCTAGTATCAGTCTGAGAGGATTATGGAGGACGAATTGTAAGGAGATGGATGAGGCTAGTATCTGGACATACTAGTTAGGAGACAAGTGAATGAGGCCAGGTGGAAATGATAAAGGCCTGAATGAAGAAAATGACAAAGATGAAGAGATGGATTTAGGAAATGTTTGAGAGGGTTGTAATTACTGATTAGATTAAGCTAGTAGGAAAAGGAAGTGGATTAAAGGACAGTCCCAAATTTTGGCAAATGTAAAAAGACGAAGAAAGAAAGGGAGGAGGAGAAAGAAGGAGGGGAGGAACAAGGGAAGAAAGAGGATAACTTTCTATATTGCCTATGATTGATCTGGCTTCAGGAGTTGGGTGGTAATATACATATCCAGGGAGGGAAGGAGGACGGAAGGGATAGGATTGGAAAATGATGACTGAGAGGATAGAGTTGAAAAGTGCCATAGGATTAGAATTAATACCAAGAGAAGTGGGAGACAAGATTAAGCAAGGAAGAACAAGTATAAGAATTATCACCTCCTAAAAGTCTAACTAAGGTTGTAGACCAAAGCTTGTGTGGGTTCTAGGGCATTAGTGCATATAACTGTGTGAGGTTCTTTAATTACTTGGGTTGTCCATGGTAACTGCTGAGAAAGTGCATGGTGGACTGATCCAAGTTGCAGGACTTGCTGAGATGATGGGGCACAAAGACCAAGAGGTGAAGGGCTTGACAATGCTGTGGGGAAAATGTTCAAAGTGAGAAACAATGGCATCTAGGTTTAGTTGGGAGAGAAGTGAGCCAGGATGGTGCTGACAGATAGGGCAGAGGTATGGAGTAAAAGAGGGGTCAAGAGATGGAATGTTTGATGTAGTAAAGAGTAAGTAAGAAAACTAGCATAATAATAAAAAGCATAACAAGCAGAACAGAACAGAGGCCATACATGATGCAATGTTTACAGGGAATACAAGTCCACAAGATTCACAATCCAAGAAGACCAATCCTGGAGAGAGGGTTTCCTCCATCCTCTCAAATGAAATGGAACAAGAGGAAATGTTACCTTTACATAACCTCAGTAGAGAAGAAGCAGGAAGAGGAGGCTCGAGGAGATTGTCATATGTAGAGATGGGTTAGGACTTTGGGGAAATAAGAAAGAATTAGAAAAGAGGTGGTGGGGAACGTGATAGGAAGGCAATTTTGAAAAAAAAAAAAAGAGAGAGAGAGAGAGAGAGAATTGGCCCAGGGAAGGCCAGTCAGTGGATACTGGTTTAGATCAGGTTTGTGAGCAGAAACAGAAAGTACAAGATGAACTTCATTCAGGGATGGAGATGAGGAAGACAGGAACAAAAGGCCTAGGGAATGGCAGCACCCATGGGGATTATTGCTGAAATCGTCAGTCTGGGTAACAGGCGGAGAAGAGGGCAAGCAAAGGCAGCCTGGGCCTTAGCACTGTGAGAACAGTGGAGGGCGAGGAAGACAAACAGAAAGTTCAGTGGCCCTGATAAATTTTCTCCATGATGTGAAAAGGTGAATGCCCCTTTAAATCATTAACTAAACTGGCACTCAAATCTGGGCAGACTCTCCTAGGTTGGGCTGTTGTGCTTTGCCAAGAAGCTGATAAGCTGCTGTGAACCCTCCAGGGCGAGTAAGGTATGATCCATCTTCCCTGTCTGGACAAGCTTGATCTGGCCTCCCTCCTCCTGCTTTAGCAGGCCTGAGGTATGTGCCAGGATTCTGTGTCTTGTACTAATTATCACATTCCAGAATGTGGGGCTCCCACTGGTATTGCCTCTAGGCTTTTAGAGGGCCTTGCTATGTCTCTGTCTGGTTGTTTCCCTCACCACAGGATGAGGAAACTGTGGGTCCAAGGGAATGTGCCCACTCAGAACCCATATTGCTTCCTCCTAGACCGGTTCTAGATACCTTTGACCACCTCAGAATTCCTTGCTTGAAAACCCAAGCCCTCCTCCAGAGCCTACCTCTGCTTCCCTAAATCCACTCTCCTGAGTGCAGACCATGCCACTCAGTGCAGTCAGCCTGAGGGTAGCCAAGGGGAGCCTGTTTGCAGAGGTGTGCACAGAGCCTGGATATGTGGCAGGGGTGTTCACAAGCACTTCTGTGAGGCCCTTCTCTATCAGAGTCCGGAAAAGGAAGCTGGGGGAAGGGCAGTCTTCAGGTTGAAGTCTAGCTCTCCCCATGCCTTCATGTCTTAGTGCAGAACTCCCAAGTGGTCCAAGAATTGCACATTCAAACTTGGTCTTCAGGAAAATAGAGTTATCAAAGTAGAAAAATCTGAGAACCAGCAGTTAGCGTAATGGCTATGTCGCTGGACTCCCACATAGTCGACCGCGGTCCACGTTCCGGCCTGGCGGCTTAAAACTCGTGCCAGGTGCATGTGCATGCGTGCCCTAGATCCCGAGAGGAGAATGGAGGAGAAGGGATTGTGGTGTGACCATCCCCCCTGGGGGGCGATTTCTTGCTTTCTGTCTCTCTGTCTCTGTCTGTCTGGTGAGTGCACATGCCCTATAGCGAAAACCTCTCCAAAAAAAAAAAAATGTAACTTATTTAATAGTCTGGTTTAATAACGGTGTACACATGGACCTTCATTTGTATTCTTTTTTAAAATTTAATTCCATTTGTTATTATTATTACTATTATTTTATTTGACCAGAGAGAGACAGAGAAAGGAAAGGAAAGTGAGAAAGCAAGCCACCAGTCCAGGACTTGAACTGGGTCGGCCATGTGGGTGGGAATCTAGCTCCTTTAACCACTACACCACCTGCCAGCCCCCATTTGTACTCTTATCCTTGTTCAAATAATAATTTTGTCCCACAAAATGGAAAGAGGAGGCCTGGCTCCTGGAATGTATTAACTACGAGGACTCAAACCACAGTTGACCATGTGGAAATTCAGCATCTTAACCACCATGCCAACTCCTGGTCCCAGGAATTGATTTACTTTTGAGGAAGCACAATAAAGTACTGAGTCTTGCCATCAGGTAAAAAAAACACATGAAACCAGTTAATATCTGGCTTGCAAATTCCACTTCATTTTTATTTATTAATTTATTTTTTAGTTAAAAAATATTTATTGAGTACACATCAGGTATCAGGCACATGGTAAGTGCTGGAGGAAGAACACAGCACAAAAACACAGTCTGACCTTTATATTGTGAAAGTAACCCTTCAAAATTATTAGTCTTTTATTTGATATTATAACTAGGCCCAAATTATATTTCAAGATGGTAAAGATCAAAATTTATTTTAAAATCCTGTTTGGATTTTTAAAAGGTTTTGGTAATGGGACCAGCAGTTAGTGTAATGGCTATGTCACTGAACTCCCATGTAGTTGACCATGGTTCCAGTCCCGGACCCAGTGGTTTAAACTTACGCCAGGTGCATGTGCGTGCGTGCCCAAGATCCTGAGAGGAGAATGGAGGAGAAGGAATTGCGGTGTGGCCATCCCCGTTGGAGGGTGATTTCTTGCTTTCTGTTTCTTTCTGGTGAGCACACATGCCCTATAGCAAAAAAAAAAAAAAAAAAAAAAACCTCTCAAAAACAAAAACAAAAAAACAGGGTTCTGGTAGTCTAAACCCTTTTCTCAGCTTTTGATATCATTTGATGTACCATAGATGTTTGTTTTTTGTTGTTTGTTTTGTTTTATTAATGTTCAAATTCAAGTTGAATTTTCTTTTATTATTTTTTAGGTTTTTGCTATAGGGCATTTGCACTCATCATAGAGAGACAGAAAGAGGGAAAGTGAGAAATCACCCCCACAGGAGGTGGGGGGCAGTGGCCATGCCACTATCCTTTCTCTTCTATTCTCTCTCAGGATTTTGGTCATGCACACACACACATACACATGCACCTGGCATGATTTTCAAGCTGCCAGTCCAGGACTCAAATCGTGGTCAATTATGGGGGAATTCAGTGCCTTAACTACTATGCTACCTGCTGGCCCCAAGCTGAATTTTCTCAAAGAATCTATGAATGTGTTTATCCTACTGTGGTATTTAAAATATGTAGCCTGGCCTTGAACAGAAGCCTCATCAACTAGATAAGCATCAGGCCATATCTTCAGTTCATCCCTTTTGATCTTGAGGATTATTTGTCACACTTTTTCATAAATCCCAGATGCTTACTAATACATTCAGTCTATCCAGCGTTAGGTTTGAGACCTGTCATGTAAATCCATGTACTGTATCTTTGTTTTTTAATTTATTATGTCTTGATTAAAGGAGTAGAATCAGATGAAGCTGAAAATGTTTAGTCATTAAGCTACAGTGAAGAGAGGGGAGATATCCACTGGATCTCCTAATATGACGCACAGTCCTTATTCTATTTGCACCTTGACAAACCATCTACTAGAAGTTCATAGAAATACATATTATGAAAAAGCTGTGCATGGATTTAAGATTGTTTTCACACCAAAATAAATGTATACTTTAATTCTACTTTTTGCCTTAATGTTTTCAAGTCTGCTTGTATACCTGAATCTCAAATGGGAAACAACCTCTTAAGAGAATTGATGCTATATTTCCAGTAGCTGTTTATAATCTGTCAACAAAAGTCAAAGCTTTATTTGTTTGATAACAAACCGAAAACTGAAAGGCTCAATTTCTAAAAAGTCAAAAAAGAGCATTTCTCGAGGCTTACGAAGACCCAAGTTGTTGACTCAGTTATGTTTAGGTTGTTGGTTGAGTGACACAAGGAAAGTCATCTTGGTTTTTGGTTCCCAAGCTTCTACTGTTGTACGATAGAATGGCAGGGGGAGATGAGGAGGGAAGAAAGAATTCATTTACCTGAGGTTACTGTTTTCCAAGTTTACCCATTTATTTTTTTATTTTTATTTTTAAAATTTTACATAGGGTGCACGTGCATACTGGACAGAGACAGGAACAAAGAGAGGGAAAGTGATAAAGTGTTCCTGGGGTGGGGGTGGGGAGAGGTGGAGGATGGCCATGCCACAATTGCATGTCCTCCATTCTCCTCTTAGCTTTGGGACACACATGCACATAAGCCCAGAATGTTTCTAAAGTCACTGGGTCTGGGACTTGAACTATGTTGTTGGCCATGTGGGATCCCACTTCCCCAACTACTATGTCACTAGCTGACTCACAACCCTTTTCTTTTGCAGCATTAGCAAGACTAATGTTCCAAGGGATCCTCTTTGGGAAATGTTAGAATACATCAGTGACTCTCAACAGGCATCGAGGGGGAGGGTTCATTTGGCACATTTGTTTTTTTTGTTTGATTATGACAGAAAGTATATGTGCATGCAAGAAAGAGAGAAAGAATGAGAGAGCATACCCTCCACATGGTCTCCACAATGCAACCCTCCCCACCACAGCACTCCAGCTCATCAGGATCCAAACCATGGTTACCTTATGGCTTCCCGCACTACAGGGAACTAGCACCATTGCTGCACCACAGTGGCTGGCCCCAGAGCACATTTGGCAATGTCTGGAGACATTTTTGGTTGTCACAACTGGGGAGGCCAGAGATGCTACTAAGCATCCTACTATGCATCAGACTACCTTCCACAACAAACAATTATTTGAAGTGTCGATGATACCAAAGGATCAAGGTACTCTGGACTAGATTAAACTATTTCTATTTTTTTTTTAATTGTCAGAGGATGCATGTGCTTACCAGAGACAGAAAGAGTACCTCATAATGGGGTATGTCTATACCACAAGCCCCTTTCCTTCCTTTCTCCGTCCTGTCAGGGGTCTGGACACACACATGCATGTACATGCGCCAACCATGTTTTTCAAACCTCCAGGGCCAGGCTTCAAACCCTGATCAGCTACATGAGATCTGGCTCCCTATGTGCTAGGGAGCCAGCCTAATTAAGCTATTTCTAAATCCATTTTTTTAATGATTTAATTTTAGTAATTATTATTATTATTTTAATTTGCTATTGGACACATATGCTCACCAGAGACAGACAGAGAGAGAGACAAAGAGAAAGTGAAAAAGAAAGCCACCAGGTCCAGTACTTGTACTGTAATTGACTATGTGGGAGTCCAGCACCTCAACCACCATGCCACCTAGTATCTCCCTCTAAATCCTTTTAAGACTAAAATTTTAGTGAAGTATTTCTTTTTTTTTAAACACCATAATTTTATTTATATTTTTACTCAATGTCAGCTGTTGTTCTGAGTGAATTTCTGGGACAGTTTTTTATCCATGCATTAGTTCCATGTTTCAGCTGCTTTGATCCTGTGGCAGGCACCATCAGATCATTGTGTGCTTCTATGACTGGTTTGGCAATGAAAAAATAAAGCGTAGAGAATCATGTGCTGGATCTGAAATGCTTCTACCTGGATATGATGAATATCTCTTCTGCTTTTTCTTTTTTCTTTTCTTTTCAACCATGAACAAGAGAGAGGAGGAGAGAAAAAGAGAGAAAGAGAGAGAGAGAGAGAGCATCCCTAACAGAGTCTTCATGCTATTTTCAAGCCCTTCTTCAGGCAGCCCCAGATCATGGGTACGTGTGTGTCTAGCATAATCAGAGAGGTCTCCGGACTTGTACCAGGAACCTTCCCATGTGGAATTGCTTCACAGAGTATTATGTTTTACTATTGTGCCGCTGTTTGGCACCCTGCTCTTTTTTTTTTTTTTTTTCTTGGTAAGTATTTCTGCTGAGATGTAATTCTGTAGAGTTAACCCATTAAAAGTATAAATTTTAGTGGTTTTTAGTACATTCACAGATACGTGCAATCATCACTGTGGAGTATATTTTAGAACGTTTTCATTACTCCTAAAGAAATCCTTCATCTGTTATCAGCCACTCTCAATTTTCCCCCAAAAAAAACCCACCCCAGTCCTAGGCAACCAACTAATCTATTCTTATCTCTATAGATTTGCCAAGTTTCTTTATTGCATATAAATGGAATCATACAGTATGTGGTCCTTTATAGCTGGATTTTTTCACTTAGCATGTTTTCAAGGTTCATCCATGTTGTAGCACATATCAATATTTCCTTTTTTTGTTGAATAATTTTCCACTGTATGAATATAACACATTTTATTTATTCATTCAGCAATTGGTGAACATTTGGATTATTTCTATACACTGGATATTCTGAATATTATTGCAATGAACACTTTGTGTGAGCATGTTTTCCTTTCTCTTGCATCATACACCTAAGAGAAGAATTGCTAGACCATAATGGTAACTTTATGTGTAGCCTTTTGAGAAACTGCCAGATAATTGTTTTCTGAAATGACCATGCCATTGTATTTTCCCATGAAGTTTCTAATATCTCCAACCCTCACCAACACATGTTATTATCTGGTTTGTTTGTTTGTTATTCTAGCCATCCTAGTACATATGAAATGGAATCTCATTGTGGTTTTGATTGCATTTTCTTGATTGGTGATAATATTAAGCATATTTTCATTTGCTTATCAGCCATTTGATATCTTCTTTGTATGGGATGTCTATTCAGATCCTTTGCCCATTTTTAAAGCATTCCCCAGTGAAGATAGCCATGCCATAATCCCTTCTCCTCTATTCTTCTCTTGATATTTTGGGCACGCATGCACACATGCCCAGGGTGTTTTTCAATCCATCAGGTTGGAACTTGAATCTGACAGTCGGTAATCTAGGATCCAAATCACCACTACACAGCTAGCCCCCCCTAATTTGCACTTTAGTGCTGATTTTTCCCCATTTTTTTTTTCAGAAAAGTAGCATTAACTTTTTACAAAATCATGGAGATTGATCATGTCTCTAGTGTTTGGGTCCAGAATGCATTTCTTGGCTGAAGAATCTCCTTTCCTTACTTCTACATCTGAAAATAAATAAATAAATAAATAAATAAATAAATAAATAAATAAATCATGGGCCTCTAATCTCACAAATGAGGCACAAGGTTTGTTTTCTCCAGTAAGATAAAGGCTTAGCATGAGAGCATGTTTTGGGTTGAAATAGTTCTTATAAAACCAGTTGATTTCAGCTCTAAGCTTATTTTACTGTTCACTGTATTTTGTTCCCATTTATACTGATGAATAACAGACTTAATTATGTTCTGTCATTTATGTCATTAATATTTCCTTTAGGTTTGAGTGCTGTGAAGTTCTCCTTTAAACTTGTATGGGGATTGGACTTGGCAGTGATTTAAGGTAATTAATTCATATGCCAGTTGTTAGCAAGGTTAGTAATTAAAGTCTACTTTAGAGTAAGTTATTAACTCCCCAATAAAAAAAAGCACTTTATCACTTATCAGTTTTAGCTATTTATTCTACTTGACAGATGAGAAGGAAAGTTATTGACTGTACATAATAACCTCTGTACTTTCACCACCGAACATCAGGGTCAAATGGAAGTCTAGGTTGTTCAAGGTCATAATTTAAATAAAGAATAAACCAGTTCAGGTTGCTGGTGGTGGGGAGAGGCGTTTTTGAATCTTGCTATCTTTGCAATACTGTCTTCTTAAATTTTGTAAAATATGTTTTGCTCTTTTCAAAATTCTGAAACTTCTAAACTATAAAGCTTTACTTTTTAAATAATTACATTATTTACTTATTCATTTATTTGATGAGAGAAAAAGAGAAAGATGGAGAGAGGAGAGAGAGAAGAGAGAGGGAACATGAGAAAGCAAGCTGTCAAGTCCAGGACTTGAATTGTGGTCAGCCATGTGGGAGTCCAGCGCCCTTAACCACCACGCCACTTGCTGGCCCCCTAAACTACAAAGCTTTAATCAAGGATTTCAGATTGAAATCTGAGACATCAAATTGCTTTGCTGTATATGTTTTTATAATACCTTTTTAAACTGAACTTAGATGTTCTCCTGTGAACAAGCTAGAGGGAAAAAAATTCAAGTTCACTGTAATGCTTAGAACATAACAAATACAGACTTTTTATTTGCAAACCTCTACTACTCACAAGTTTCTATCTCATGATAGCAAATTTCATTTTATACTGCCTTGTTCTTAGCCTAAGATCTGGTTACATTTATACTCTATAACGGGCCCTTTCCTTCCTCCAGTTAGCTTGTGATGAACTACTTCCAAGGCCACTCCATGTTCATCTGGCTAATAAGGCTAGGGTGATGTTTCTCAGGCCTATCTTATCATCAGAATTTATCAGAATTATCTGAGGTGGTTTTAATTTGTTTGTTTAATTTTTCAGAGGGCGTGTATGCTCATCACACAGAGACAGAGAGAGGGAGGGAGAAATCACCCCCCAGTGAAGCATGGTCACACTACAGTCTCTTCTCCATTTCTCCATCCCGTTGGGACTTTGGGGCACACATGCATGCTCACCTGACATGTTATTTCAATCTACTGGGGCTAGGATTTGAACAACACAGTCAACCATTTGGAATTTGGTTCCCTTAACCACCAGTCCATGGGGCCAGCCTAACCTGGAGTAGTTTATAAAGAACTTTTTCCTAACCTACTAAATCTAGATCTCTGTGGTGGAGCCAGTGAATCCATATGTTTACAACTTTTCCAAGGTGATTTTGATGTCTAGCCCTGGTTGGAACATGGTCCAGAACACCTAGATTCTAGGATTTTCAGGTATGTGGAAATCTCACAGTTTGGCCTCTGAGAAACTACCTTCTATTGATAATTGCCAAAAGATTCCTTTTTCCCCCCTTTTTTGCTGTAAGATGTGTGTGCTCACAGGAGACACAGAGAGAGGGAATGGCCATGCCACAATCACTTCATTCTCCTCTTGGGATTTTGAGCACACACATACACTTGGTGTGGTTTCCAAACTGCCAGGTCCAGGATTCAAACTACCCAGTTGGCTATACGGGATCTCCCTTAATCTCCATGCCATCTGTTGGCCCCATTTACCAAAGATTCTAGAAAGACCAGAGGTGCCTATTTGCAAGCTTCCCTTAAAACTATTTGCTACATGGCAATGAGGCCTAGGGTTCTTCTCTGCCATTCTCACTCCCTTGGCCTGTTCTTGTGACTTACATATCTGCCTCTTCCAGCTGCCCAGCAGTGGTGCTAGTGAAAATAAAATAGACTTTAGTCCTGATAGACTTGACATGTACGCTTAGCTCAGTCTTCTCTTTGGGTACCATTTACCTCATCTCTGAAATGGAGAGAATATTGTCCTCTTCAGGATGTTATGAAGACTTGAAAAATATATAGCACCTAGAACACAGTACACTCTGCTTTAGGCATGATTATTTGTTCCTTGTTTGATTTTATTTGTCCACCTCTCTGAACATGTTGGGTTAATAAGGTTCATTTATCAGTTTCCCCTGATTGTATCCCCCTAGACTGCTCTGGGCAGTGTTTCTCAAAGGACACAGACTACCTGCATCTGAATAGGAAGGAGAGAAAACAGAAGCCTGCTCTGATGCACTCTAATTTTCTGCATTTTTAAACTTCTTTTTTTCTTTGGTTATTTTTTTCTTCCAGGAATAAGAGAGAGAGAGACGGCACCTCAACAAGAACTTGAGTTCACCTCCTGCTTCAGCCAGCCTCATATGACAGGCACACACTTGCCTGGCATGTGTTCAGGAAGATCTTCAGCTGTAAACCCGGAACTTTCCCAGGTCAGCTTGCAGAGTGTTCTGTTACCGCTGCCCCACTGCCTGGTCCTCTGTACTTTAAAACTTTTTATTGCAACATAACATACAAAAAAGGGAGGGCCAGGTGGTGGCATGGTGGTTGGGGGTAGCTGAATCCCACTTGGCTAACTGTGGTTCAAGTTCCAGACCTGGTGGCTTGGGAAACACACTGGGCATGTGTGCATGCATGTGTGCCCAAAATCTCAAGAGGAGAATGGAGAAGGGATTGTGGCTATCCACCTTAGGGGGCGCTTTCTTACTTTCTCTGTCTCTCTCTTTCTCTTTCTCTCTCCAGCAAGCACATGCACCTAATTTTTTTAAAGGAGCTATTTTATTTAACTTTATTTAGTTATTTATCTATTGATTTGTGTGTTTTTAATTTGACCAGAGAAGGACAGAGCGAGAGTGAGAGCAAGAGTGAGAGAGAGAGAGAGAGAGAGAGAGAGAGAGAGAGAAGAGAGAGAGAGGTAAAAGTGAGAAAGCAAGCTGCCAGGTCCAGGACTCAAACTGCAGTCAGCTATATGGGAGTTCAGCATCCCCAACCAACATGCCACCTGCTGGCTCCCCTTGTAGCAATTTTTTTTAAAGTATATTTATTATATATGAACAGCTTAGTGAATTTTTCTAAACTGAATACATTCGTTTAACCAGATCAAGAAACAGCATTAGCAGCATCTTAGAAACCTCTTCTGCAGGCAAACTTTAAGAACCACCACTCTAGGGACCAGCAGGCAACATGGTGGTTAAGGTGCTAAACCCCCATATGGCTGACAGATGATTGGGTCCCAGAACTGGCAGCTTGAAAATCATGCTGGGGGCCAGCAGGTGGTGTGGTGGGTAAAGGTGCTGGATTCCTATATGGCCAACGGCAGTTTGAGTCCTAGCTTGCTTCTCCCTTTCCCTTTCTCTCTGGTCAAATTTTTAAAAAATAATAATAATAACAAATGGAATTAAATAAATAAATAATTTGGGGGGCTGACAGGTGGTGTGATGGCTAAGGGCGATGGACTCCCACATGGCCAACTGAGATTCGAGTCCCAGACCTGATGGCTTGCTTTCTCACTTTTCTCCCTCTTTCTCTTTCTCTCACTCTGTACCTCTCTGGTCAAATTAAAATAAATAAATAAAGTTAAATAAAATGATTGTTATAATATGAAAAAAGAAAATCATGCTGGGCACATGTGGGTATGTGTCCAAAGTCCTAGGAGAAGGGATCAAAATCACCCCTTGGAGGTGATGTCTCACTTTCTCACGGTCACTTTCTGGTGAGCACATGCGCCTTATGGCAATAACTTAAAAAAAAAAAAAGGAAAGAAAGAAAAAAAAAAAAAAAGAACTACCACCACGATAGTAAGAGCTCAGCTATGACAGTCTCCTTCACTGTGGTTCAGTCCTACCCTCTTCAGCCTGATCCTCATGCGGTGTGAGCCCTCAGTCTGAGAGGCTGGCCCTTTGGCCTCACATGCACCCTTAATAGTGGTGTGACTTCATTTGTGAAAAGGGTCAGGAAGGGTGTTTCCATCATTTATATTCCTAGCATACACCCTAAACTGCTTAAAGCAAATGAATTCAGGTCCTAGCCAAAAAGGAGTGGAGATCAGTCATTGCCTGAAAGCATCGGCTTATTACAACACTCCAGCATTTTCTCACGGAAGGGTGAATGAGGTGGATTCTGGCATAATTACCTTTGTGTAATTGAAAACTAAATCACTGATGACTGCGTAGTTTAAATCGCCGTTTAAATACTTTCAATTTTATTGCACTTATTTTTGCTGGACATGCTACTACCAAATAGGCTATTAATTTTTCTAGTGGATTAAAATCTGAATGAGTATGGTTAAAAACTAGCACAGCTCAAATAGATGACCTTTTTCCCAGAGATCATTATAGAGAGTTTTTCTTCTTCTTTATCCAACTATTCAAATACTCTATTAGACCAGGACCTGCAATAACACTGGCCTTGCCCAAAAGAGATCAAGTTTTCTATGTAATGTAATTAGGCAAGACTTTAAATAGTAAGACAAGTACCTGTGATATTTTTGCTTTTAGCTCCTCAAATTTAATATGACACAAATCAGGGTTAGGGGTGTGGGAGTCTTATTAAAATGCAGATTCTAATTTAATGGGTCCTGGAGTCTGAGATCGTGCATTTCTAACAAGTTCCCTGATGGTGCTGATGCTGCTGGTCTGAATACCACACCTGAGTAGGAAGAATATTCAGACTGTAAAAGTATTCCAGCATTCCTATGGCACAAACTTTAAAATGAAAAATAAAATAAAACAACAACAACAAAAAACAATTCCAGCACTTACTGGAAACAAGAGCTTTGTTTTGTAGTACACAGCGACTATTTCTACAGCCAATTCTAATTGTACAAGTCCATGATTCAGTAATTCCCCCTTTGCATAGTGACTAAATTTTGTTAAGCTTCTAATTCTCATTCATAAAATGTTATATTAGATATGGTTCTGTATTGGAGGGCCAGGTAAAAATGCTTACTTATAGCTAACAATTTTTATTTTTTAATCTTCTACAAGTGAATCCATGGGAAGTCTTGGGCAATAATAACATGATACTGGGCTTGGACCATAAGCTAAACTTGAGTCAGCAATGCAGGGCTTTGGTTAGATAAGCAAGTGTAAACTTGGAAGAATAACCAAAAGAAAGGGACAGCTAATCCTACGAGAATAGGCAGTCCTTCCATGAATACTTTTTTTCAAAGATCCGCAACTGGGAAGAGCTGCAGAGCATATAAAGAAAAGTTAAAAGCATTGGTAATATTTAGCTTGTGAAGAGGGGACAAAGGATGCCTTAAGAATAATTTTTGAATGACAGCAGAAACCAGTTATATCCTCTGAAATCAGTGACTTTATCAGAATAGGTTTAGGTTAGCTCCAGCGCAGAACTTTTTCATGATAATGATGATCCTGAGTGGTGGTAGGACTGCCAATAGTTTCCTTTTCCAGAGATTCTCAAAATCAACCGCCGCCCCGCTACATTGCCCATCAGTTATGATATTAGACGATGTATCAGTTGGGATCTAGTGTAGATAACACTGTGCAACTATGCATATTGAATTATATGCCTACAAAACCATTAGAGGAGCTGTAAGAACAAAAGTTAAGGGCTGCCTTTATGCTTCCAGACCAGACCAATAGCTACAGCCTCTTTGTCAAGAAGCAATAGAAACCACTGGCCAGCATCACAGCCACTTCTCACTAATGGAGCTGATGAAAATACAGAGGCACAGAAGTCTGACCATTAAAAATCACATTTAGTGTGGCATGTACATTAACAACTAACAGTGAAAATTAACAGGCAGGTAAAATAGACTCTATCTTCCATTTGCCTTTCCAAACACACAACATTACATCTGAATGGGAAAATGGATTACATACAGTCCTATTAGCAAGACAGCCTAAAAATTACGTTCAAAGTTTTTTGTAAACTACAGGTCAACTTTTTATTGAAATATACATACATAAAAAACACACAAACCATAACCTTGGAGCTTGATGAACTTTCATAAACTAAACACACCCACATATAGCCAGCACGCAGATTGTGAGAAAGAAATTACTAGCATACCAGAAGCCCCCTCTAGGCACAATTATCCCTCAGATTGATTAAGTCTTGGCTTCTAACACCATATATCACTTTGCATGTCTGTAAACCTTAGAAAAAAAATGGAATGATACAGTATGCATTTTGAGACTGCCTTTTCTTATTTTCTATTTTACTTGTGAGATTCATCCCTGTTGTGTACAGTAAGAGTACCATCATTTTCATTGTGGTATAGTGTTTTGTTGTTTGAATATAACACAATTTATATATACTACTGTAGATAGACATTTGGACTGTTTCCAGTTTGAGGGTTTGTTTTTTTTTATAAATAGTGTTGCTATGAACACTGGTAAACATGTATGGAGAACAGCAGATGGCATAATGGTTACATCGCTGGACTCCCATGTAGTCGACCATGGTTCAAGTTCCGGACCTGGTGGCTTAAAACTCACGCCAGGAGCATGTGTGCATGTGCCCAAAATCCTGAGAGGAGAATGGAGAAGGGATTGAGGCTTGGCCATCCCCCCTCGAAGGTGATTTCTCCCTTTCTGTCTCTCTATCTCTCTGGCAAGAGCACATACCCTATAGCAAAGTTATCTCTAAAAAAAAAGTAAGCATTTTAGTCGGCTATATAAGAGTGACATTTCTGTGATGTATAGTTTCTACTTGAATAGAAAAGTAGATTTACTAGTAGTAGATCTTCTATATCCTCACCCATACTTGGTATTTTCTTTCTAAATTTTTTAGAGATTTTTTGCTACAGAGCCTGTGCACTCACCAGAGAGACAGAGAAAGACAGAGAGAATGAAAGGAAGAAGTCACTCACTGGGGTGACCATGCTGCAGTCCCTTTTCCTCCATTCTCCTCTCAGGATTTTGGACATGTATGCACACATACCCAGTATGAGTTTCAAGCAACTGGGTCTGGGACTCGAACCATGGTCAGCCACATGGGATTACAAAACCTTAACCACTGCACCACCTGCAGGCCCCTCTGTCTTTTGGATTTTTAGCTGTTCCTTTGAAGGGCTAAGGTAATGTATCAAAATCATATGTGGGGCCAGCCCCATGACCAGGTAGTTAATGAAGCCAGATCCCACATGGCTGACCACGCAGATTGAATCCCATTCCCAGTGACTGGAAAAATATACCAGATGTGGTTTGTGTGTGCCCAAAGTCCCAACAAGATTAAAAAAATAAAGGAGAAGGGATTGCAGTATGAGCATGCCCTGTGGGTGTGCTTTCTCCTCTCCCTTTCTGTCTTTCTGTCTCTTGCTGGTTGAGTGCATGTGCCCTTTGGCAAATTCTTTAAAAAAATAAAGAAATAGCATTATGTTTTAGTTTTCATTTTCCTGGTGTCTAATAAGTTATGCCTGTTACATATGTTTATTGGCCATGTGGATATCCTCTTCCATAAAATA